CCCCAAAACCCCAAAACCCCAAAACCCCTATATAGATGCAGGAGATTGGGAACATAAATAAATAAGTATGAAAAATTTTGGATTTTATGATGGTGACTTATCTGAAGACTTTTTGGATGAGCATGCTCAACATTGTATTGTTAAAACTTCTCCAACTCTCTTAAAGAACATGGAAGATTCTCCTTTTCACAGGCATATCAAATCTAATCGGGCTTCTGATCCTTCCTGCTTTGGACTAGTTCCTCCCCACTTTGAGTGCTTTAAAGATGCTCTATATGACAAAAGTAAACTTCAGGTTTGCAATAAGACAACCCATATACAAAAATGGGGGACAACAGAAACAAGAAGACCTTCCAAACTCCAATTAGACATCAAAGATTTGCTGCACAAGATGTCTAGAATAAGGAGCTGATGAGACCAAAGCGAAGAAGGTCCCCAGGTCGAAGAGAAGGTTCGAAAACAATCAGCAGCTTCATGCCCTTGCGGGGAAGTGTTGGTTACAATGAAAGATATCAATAGTGCAGAATAATTGCACTCTTTCTAATCCGTAATTATTTTTAAAGCAAATTTATACTACCTTATTGTCACGAGGTTATCAGATAACTTAGCAGGGAAGAGGCTATTCCCATGATTAATATTTTATTGGCTGGGCATTTTTGGTTTAAATTGTCTAACCTCTGAGGTAATTAGTCATGAATCACTCATATTGTTATAGAAAATTTCTACTTTTACTATTTTAAGGGAGAGATCTCTATATTATTCATCATAGAACTTGTTGGGAAGTACAAGGAATCTCAATTAATAATGCTTGAAAGATATGAAGGTAAAAATATCTTATCTCAGAAATTCATAAAAACTTAGCAAGAAAGAGTTCTGAGTTAAAGGCTGAAGCTTCTAATTAAATCTGGTTGAACTATAGTATCAATTAATCATCACTAAAAATTCCCTTCAACGACTTTATAACAAAATTATTTTTTGTAATCTGAATCTAGCCCTCTTCTTTATCAAATATTTTTGAAAATATGCAAAAATAGATTTGTTTCTTCCAAATCCTTCTGAATTTGTCAAAAACAAGATATTCAGGATGATTTTCTCTGATAATCTAATAAACTCTAAAAATTCTCTAGGGCCTACATTGATTATTGAAATATTCAAATTACTACCCTTCTCATGGAAGTAGCCATTTTTATTAGATTCAGGAATATTAATTATTTTTGATTCCTTGAAATTGCCAATTTGAATTACCTCTAAATTGTCGACTGAGAGAAACTACTATGTTAAAAATTGTCAGAATCTAGGAAGATTGCTGTGAAGCTTAAAACTTGAAATTTGGCGGTCTGGAGCATTTGTATTAAGGATTAAGATTGACAATATTAAACCCAACCTCTGACTTCAGAACCCCAAGGGAGGTATAAATATCTGGAATTTCATATGAGAAGCTTACTTTTGATGAAATTTCTGGATTACGGTGAGTTAAATAGCTAACACAATGAGTTATTAAGGAGAGAGGAGCAGAATTAATTCCAGAGCTTTAAAATTAATTGTCTGAGAACTTAAAAATTTAATCCGAAATTTCCCTTTAAAAATAAGTGAAAACTCAGACTTTTTATGATGAGAAAGATGATTCAATTTGGTCCTAAGGCTGATTTTACTCACTTAACTTCATTGGATGATTTCTATTAAGAAAGGGATATATGATCATCAGGTAATGGGGATATTTAGCCAGCAAAATAGGTTACTAGGACTTTAATATTGAGCTAGAGAAGTTTAAAACCACTGATAATCACAAACTGTCTCACCAGTTCTTCTAATAAATCTCTAAATATCCAAAGACACACATAATATTTGTATTTATTTCAAGACTTAACATAAAACTCTGAAATTATTCTCTTAACGTATATGTTTCATGAATCTGATTATTTTTGGTTAAATCATCTATTGTCTGTAAGATATCTATCAAATTACATAAAAATGAAAGTATTCCAAGTCGACAACGATTCTCTTTTGTCATCCTCCAAAAATGTAGAGAAGTGGAGATAAGACTTGGTTCATATTTATACATAACTACTGCATTTGAATAGTCCTTAGATTTGGCTTTATAAGGTGAAGTATATGGTTAAAGATATTAAACCGGACTTCTTCTCTTAAATCGCGAGGTTTTCCTTATAACAAAAATAAGATGCCCTAAAATTGTGAATAAAGATCCTTTAAATTATTGATAAGACATATTTGGTGAATTTAGGCAAAAGAAATTTATCAAAGAGCTGAAATGGTAGTAGAATATTATTTTTCTTCAGAGATTAGAAGGTTTAGAAGCAAAATGTGAAGGATAGTTTATGAGACCTCTAAGACCATATTCCAAAGCCAATTTTGTCATATAAGATTATTAATTATCATTCTTTGTTCATACCTCCATAAATTTCTCTCAAATCACCAGTCCATCTATAACATATCCACTTTCCATAAAAAAAATTTCCTACAAAAGATGCATATTTGTACTCCTTTTATACTCAAATTTTTCCTCTAAACCATATTTGACCAATAATAATCCAACGAAATCCATTTTAGAACTTATGAACAATTATATTTCAAGGCCAAGACATCATGCTGGGGTTTTGGGGTTTTGGGGTTTTGGGG